CCCCCCCCCCCCCACACACACACCCTGCTAACCTTATTTCCAGCTTAAGTGGTGAGGTGGGGCTTCCTTCCACTGCCCTCCTCATTTCTCCCCACCCTTATCCTTCCTCCTTTCTGAGATTCTGCAGGGACTTAGCTTTGGATATACAGGAAAGGCTAAATAATCATCCCTTCTCTTTCTGCTGGAGAGGGACAGCTCAAGCTGCAGGCCACACAAACCCAGCACCAGGTCCCCGCTTTGCCTTAAAGATGAGCACAGGAAGCCAGTCTCCCTAAGCCTTTCTTTCTTCATTGGTACATGAGGATAACAATAGTCATTTCTTATAATTAAAAGAAATGATGTAGAACATCACATATCTGGCACAAACTGTTATCAACCAGAACAGAATTAGATGCCACATATATAATATTTACATGTGTTATAAATAATAAACAATATGGATGCCCACTCACTGCACTGTGATAAACGTTGGTTCACACCCCCTCCTACAAGTCTTCATGATCTGACAATTTAGTATCTCTGAAAATAAACTGCTCCAAGGATGTCTCTGTCCCCAGTCATCTTGCTGGACCTCTTTCTGCTTCTTTCTCTGAGTAGATTTCTATGCCCAGCCATTCTTGTTTAGCTCTTAGGAATGCTGAGTTATTGGGCGCCTAATAACTGCTGTGAGTGTACTTCAGACATGAACATAGTTTCAAACAGCACTCAGATGCCCCAACAATAACGATACTACATGTAAGAGCAAGAAGATCTTCCAAGCACCGCAGGCATAGGGCCACCCTCACACAGGGCTGGCACCACAGCCATGCTGGCACAATAGTGGAAACTACTGTGTTGGGACATCACCTGGAAAACGTATGCAGGTCACACAGATAATCCCAGAAAACATATGGGAGACAGAATTTTGAAAAGAAACCCAGTCCTGAATCAAAGACAGAGTTTAGTACTGGGGTTTTTTTTTTGCCTTCAGTTGCCTGACATTGGACCCCTTTCCAAATTATCAAAAACAACAGAAAAGACTTCAAAGCATATAAACACAAGAGGCTGCAAAGTGGAATTTCTGATAAAAATCCATGAGTTTGAAATTAGGAATTTACTTTGGATCAACTCCAGCTAGAATCTCTCTGTATGTTTTATCTCTGCTACCCATTCTTCTAGGCAATAAAATATCAGACTAGATTTATTAAACCAAATAGGTTGAGACCAGAGTATTGGTCCAGGTCTTAGACTGCAGACATTTAAGAGGGAGTGATAATTTGTGAACTAACCAAAGAGAATTCAAAGATTCTGAAAACAGCCTCATGAAACTTGAGCAATGACTTTGAGCATCAGTGTAATATTGGGTAACATCCTATTTCAACTCCGAAGTTCTAGAATGCTTATGAAGAACATGTCTCATTATGCTAGAGCTGTGCTTATCGAGGACTACGAAAAGCATCCATTCAAAAGACCGAGCTGAAAATCGCCAACTGAGATACAGCATCAAAGGTAGTTTGCCAGAGCTCCTGTGGCTCGGCATGTCCTAGATCACTGTAGTGCACGTAGCTGTAAAACAACAGAGCTGGCACTAAACTGTCACTAAAAAGCAACCAGACTAATAGCTTTCTAAGCATTTAAATTTTTTTTCAAATAATTTCAAATGAGTCAGTTCTCTAGAGGAGCTGAATGGCAGCAAACTCAATCTATGAATAAAAAGTGGTAACAGAAATTAGTACCTACTTGGAATCCTATTAAGCGTCACCCAGAAATGTTCATCAGGACTATAGGTATCTTTTGACCATTGTAGTAGATCAATGGCCCTTTTGTCCTGAAAGACAAAGTTGACAAACTCTCTGGTGAGGGCCACATAGGCAGTGCCAAAGTAAATCGTCAGCTGATGTGGAGGAGACGTTTTCAAAACATTAGTGTTTTTCACAAAAGAGCCATCTTTGCCTATGTGCTCTCGGTGGACATACTTAGTCCGTCCAATGGCATGAGCTGGGGGCAGCACCCCAGGGGTAATGTTTTTCCCTTTAAATCCTTTCAGATACTGAACTATTTCCTTGTTGGTTTTCAGGGGGAAATCTTGCCCACAGGTGTTGATGGCGTACTTCCAGGGGACCTCCGAGGCCACCAGGTCTCTCAGGCAGTTCAGGTCGGCCTGGAGCCTGGAAATCCCACCGTAGACAACAGGCCCCATGTTGGAGGCCAGAAAGGCATTGGGGAAGCAGCTCAGTAGCTGCCCCACCGCATCTTTAAATTCAACGCTTGCCTTTTCATCCACGTGAATGCAGTAGACGTTTTGGGGCATGTAAATGGCCCTGAAGAGTCTCTCAAAAGTGCCAAAGTCTTTGTGGATGGTCATTGTGTAAGCCAAAGGGAACGCAGCCTCTTCCTCAGAGAGTGTTTCTGTTATATAGTGACTCTGAGCCACATATTCATAACAGGCAGATTCGCTGAAGGTAGTTTTCAGGGCATTCTCCGTTAAGTAAAAAACCTTGCCCTTAAAAACCTGATGACAGGTTTCTGCTAAGAGCGAAGCNTCCCGCGTAGACCACGGGCTCGATCTTTGAAGCAATAAAGGCATTTGGGAAGCAGCTCAGTAACTGCCACACAGATTTCTTGAACTCTGCTGCAGCTTTTTCATCCACATGAACACAGTAGACATTCTGGGGCATGTAGATAGCCCTGAAGAGCCTTTCAAAGGTATGGAATTCTTTGTGGATGACCATGACATACGCCAAAGGGAACGCCACTTCTTCCTCCGACAGGGGCCTTGTGATGTAGTGGTTCTGGATCAGGTAGTCCTTGCAAGGGACACTTCCCAAAGGTGATGTCAACGTGTTCTCCCAGAGAAAAGTGGACTTGTCTTCTAAGGCGTCCTCACAGGCACTTACCACAGAATACCTTTCACTGGAACCATTCAGCCTCCTCTTGGGCAGGCTTAACCAGCTGTTGTAACGGATCACAAAAATAACCACACTGAGCACAGTGAAAGCAAAAAGGTAGTACCTCCAATAGTTCATTATTTTCACTTCCTTGAGCCAGGAATCTCTCCCCAGGGGCTGAGAAATGATCAGTCCCTGAAGCTCCAAGTACGAAGAGGCTGAATGGACTTCCTCTGGCAGTCTTGAATTTCGACAGCTTCTCAAACAGCGTCTCCTTCAATCCTCACTGATTCTCTGCTTCAGTATCGCCTCCGTCCCCTGGCGGTGGCGGGAGGGGACCTCCTTCTCCAACACGCACTGGTCTCGGCCCTGCCCGCTGGATGCCAGCGGCTGGCAGAGCGCAGAGCGGAGTGGAGCGCTCAGCCCAGCCCAGCCCGGCGCAGCCGGCGCCCGGCCTCCGGGAAGCCCTCCCCCTTTGCATATGAAATGCAAGCTGTGGCTCCCAGCAAATTACCTTCGGAGAAGGAGGGACCGGTCCTTTGCACCGGGGCTGGGCTTCTCACGCTTCCCGACAGCCCCCCTCCCTCCACTCCCTTTCGATCTCATCTCCCTTCTCTCCTCACACTTTCCCTGCGTTTCAGAACGAGTGGTTCTCCTCTTTCGGGTCAGCCCTGTAACCCGCAACCTGCAACCTGCTAGCAGGCCTTGGAAACCACAGCGTTCAGGACCAGTGCTCTGGTTTATATCTTTTCCCGTTTCTTGGCCACCTCTTTTCATTTCAGTGTTATCTCTGCCTCTGAGCACACACAGGCACAGATAAGGGAAACAGGCACTTGCAACGGGGCTAAGTATTATCAGCATCAAGACGATCAGCAGCAAAACGTCTGGGGAGAGGCAGGTGTTTGCTGGATTAAATCAGACGGTTTCTGATGGTGTCACATAGCATATATATGTGTGTGCAGGCGTTGGGAAATGGGAAACGAGGATTGCACTGCTGCGGGCATGGGGTGGGAGCAGAAGGAACCTAGGAGAGACTTGAAACATTAAAGGGTCGGTGTGGATGACATCAATGAAATGAACACACCTCAGTCTGCCTGCCAGAGAGAAAGGTGATAGTCACTGTTCCCAGAGAGCAAAAGTAGTTGGTTCCCATTTCACAAAGAGCTTCAGATAACTCCTGTTGTTGACACGGTATTATCTACAATATGTACAGTGACTAGCCACTGGGTCTCTTCATAAGCCTGACGTGTTGAGATTTGCGCGCATTTCCGAGGACTCAAAGGATTCTACTTCCCACCCAACACCCTCTCCCACTTCCTCACTCTGAAGAAAGAACAAAGGCTTCTGGGCTGCAGCTAAATTCCTGGAAGTATGGGTCAGTGAAATTCAGGGGAGCCAGGAAGAGAAGCCCGGCAGGTCTGGTCACATAGAGGGGTTCTCAGAGCTCACGGGTGCCAGGTGCCTCCAGCGCTCAGCAAGTGTGGATTGAGCGCTGAGCATTGGTGCCGGTGGTAAGGATGCCTCTGGGGAAAGTAACCAGACCAACTAAAGATAAGCGGTGGCAGTCCCTGCAGTCTCCCAGCTATCCTGCCTGTCTGGGCATGGTGTGGCAATTGAAGCAGTTGCCCTGTTAGGAAAACATCTGGTGTACAAAACAACACTCTCCCTGCCCCTTCCTATCCCACACGTCCGCATAACTTTCTGCGATCCCCTGGACAAATGAATGGCCACAGTAGCATGGATGTGACGGATATTGATTTAGAGATAGACCCAAAGAGTTGGCAGGGATCTTAAAAACCATCTAATACAACCCTTTATTTTACAGATGAGAAAACTAAGGCCAATGCAAATTTCTCTTTTCTTAAGTCATTCGGCTGGATAGAAGCCAGTGTTTTAGTTCTGCAGTTCCCTGGTCCAGATGCTGAAACCAATCTAATTGGCTTCAAATCCCAGCTGGTCACTGACCGGCTGTGCGACCAGGGTAAAGTTACTTAGCCTCTCTAAGCACCAGGTTGTTAGTTGGAAAAGAGCAGTGGTTGCTGTTTCACATGGTTAAGAACCCTGAATGAGATGGCTCTTATTCAGGGTGTATGTGTATGTTCACATATGCTCAATAAGCACTAGCAATTTTTGTTGTTGTCATTTTTCTTTGGAAAAATATCCATTATTTCTGACCCTGCTGATGAACAGATATTTTGATTTCTGTTCTTATTAATGGAACAGAAGAACGTTTACCTTCTTAAGGCTTTCCAGTGGGTTGAGATGGGTGTTCCCACTCAAAAAGAGTGAAGGTTAAATTTCACATTTCACACTTTTCCTTCCTCACGGCTATCCCCTTCACC